ATATTTGTAAAGTGGGGGAAACAGGATTTCGAAAAGTAGGGGGGACATGTCCCCCCTGTCCCCAGTGGAGATTACGCCGTGTGTGTGTGTGCGTCAAGTGGAATAAATATATATGCAAGTTACAACACACAGAGTAAAACTCTGCTCCTCATGTGTTGTATAGGCTGGCATGATAGGCTGTTCAATGGGGCTGATGTGTTGTGTAGATTCTGCCAGAAGGAAAATCAGCGGGGAGGTGCCACATTGCTTTTCTTCCCGACTGCAACGCTGGTCCCGCAAATCAAGCAAGAACGTGATTGGTCGATATTCATCGTGGGGGAGGAGGGGTGTTAGATAGATATAGAGTTGTAGTAAGTAGATAGTTTGCTATGATTTAGGTTTCGTTTATGCATAGAGTAGATTATTTTAATTACATTTCCTTTTTCGTTTTGGATTTGCTTGGCGAGCTATTTTTAGAACATGCCCGGCGGGCGACTCACGTTGCCCCTGCGGGCGACTGAGTGCCCGCGGGCACCGGTTGGCTACCCCTGATCTAGAGAATTCGAACGGCACTTATCATGGCTGCCACTGAGGGACTTCCGGGTCATTTCACTCGGTTAGGAAGGTTCCTAAGCTAAATGGACTATTCGACTGCAGCCCTGCACCCCTGTCAGATAAGACATATACCACGTGATGACACGTTAGGCTCGTGTTGTGTTCAAGGACCCTGACCTTCGCCAGGAAAAACAACCACTCGCTTGTTTAATTTTTTTGGGGTCTACATTTCTTTAAAAAAAAAAAATGTGCGTGTGTTTATAAATTACCTTAAGGGCTGTATCAAATGGTCTCGTGGTCCGTATACGGCCCGGAGGCCGGAGGTTCCCCACCCCTGCCTTAGACAATTAGGACTACTTTCCCAGTATTTAAGACATCTTTGCCACATGAAATCCATATTACAAAAGGGAAAAATGAAGGCGGGGCTTAATAAAATGTTATACATGTCTATCCTCATGAACACGTATATTTTTGATTTAGTATTTTTTCATTAAATGAGTGGCAAGTCATTCTGTCCTAGTCTTCCCAATTAGACACCAGAAGCACACGTTATATGTAAATGCAGTTTCTCCTGTTCCCGTGCTCACCTAATGAATCAGAGCGCCGCAGGTTTGGGACCGCTGCAGGCGAGTCAGTCCAGTCCACTTTGCCTCGGGCCACCAGGTACTGCTGGGCTTTCCTCAACATGGCAGGGAAGTCCTCATGAGAGGCTGCAAACGCCTCGATACGGTTCTTCACAGAACCGAGAACCTGAGGTGAGTCAGAGGAGGAGAAAAAGGTTTGACATGATCTTCAAAAGGCAGCTGACTTGTGTTTGCTGATTACTTGGTCCGGAAATGTTACTTCAGACTTTTGACTGAAGCCAAACTGAAATGCTCTTTCTTACAGCATTAGTCATCCATTTATAGAATCACGTATTATGGACGGAAATGGATTATGCAAAATAAACTCTATGCTAATGCATTGTGGACCCGAAGCTTTTGGAACACAAGCGAGCACAGAAGTGAGGTGGGCTGGAAGACAACAATGCCTCCAACAAAAGACCAAAAACTGTCATTTCTTCCATTAGACATACAGAACTTCCTCCAGTTTGTGTACCTGGATCAGTGACTTGACGCTGGGCTGGAAGACCATGTTGGTGTTGAGCAGGAAGGAGCGTAGGAGCGGCTGAGGATAGCAGGCCAGCTGGGCCACGATGCCCGTCAGCAGGATGTTGACGTACAGCGAGTTTTGGAGCATGTTCTCCAGCTTGGCAAACAGAACCACCATGAACGGACCTGGACAGAGAAACAATGACAACAATTAACTTAAGTCCAGCTGCATGTGGATAAAACAGGGACACACAACAATAAATAAATAAATGCTCAAGAATGTGAGTCTGACCCGTGTATGGCTGAGAGGCGGGTTGATTAAGGGGTCTAGTAGGGCTGCACAGGCCCACCACAGGCCCCTCTACTTTTGGATCGACCGTCAGCTTCATCTCCAGGCCTGAGGACGGTTCCTCCTCCGGCCGCTCAGAAGACACAGAGTCTCTGGGAGTGTCCTCCTGCAGGACGGCTGCTCTGCTGCGCTCCTTCACCCTGTCCTCCAGCTCCCTCAGCTCCTGTGTGAACGCCTCGATGCTGATGCCCTGCCCGTTGGAGTCTCCCGGGAGCTGCGGTTCTCCCGGTGCCTGCTCCAGCAGCTCCTTGATGAGACTTTCTACAGACTGTTGAGTCTGGTTGCTTTCTACAAGATCTGAGGATGCATTGTGTGGGTTTGAGGTGTCGCCCGTCAGCAGTTTGGTGTCAGACGTTTGCTGGGTGACGGGACTTGGAGAGGAAATCTGGTTAGGACAAAGCGATTTTGCATCACTCATTTCACTGTTACTAAAAGTAGTCTGTGGCAGAGCAGTGCAGCTTTGGGGGGAGCAGGAGACAAGGGATCCATTTTGATTTGCGTTTTCATCCAAATACTGCGGCTCCCCTAAGTCCCTCTTCACTTTCTTTACCTCCAGTCCTCTGTCTCGATTGTCTGAGCAACCGTCACCCTGGCCAGATGTTCCATTATACATGGCCTGGTAGCTAACAGTGACGGTGGAGGTGGGATTGTGAGGCGCTGGGGACGAGGCGGGGTGGGAAGTCAATAAAGGGGGGGCTGAAGACGAGGAGGAGGGGACGAGTTGAGGTATAGGCTTGGGCAGGAGCTCCTCTCTCTGCAGGCTGCGTTTCTTGGAGCGTGGAGTGAGGCTGATGCAGTTGTTTTTGCCGATGGTAACGTCCCACTCGCCGCTGTCCCGCTCTGAGCTGCTCCACTCGGATCGAGCTGCTGCCACAATGGCCGCCCTCTGTTGGCCTGGAGGGGTGTTACTGCTCCCTCCCTGCTGGAGAGAGAAGTGCTCCGGGTACATAGCCATGGAAGGGTTGGCGGTAGGGGGAGGTGGGGGTGGAGGGGCTGTGTTTGGGGAGGGGTTTTCTCCATCATAAGGTGCCGACCAGTCACGGCAGGCCCAGGAGCAAAACTCGATGCCTCGCCGCGAGTCTTTGAGGTAATCCAGGTAACCCGAATCCCAGTCCAGGCATTCTGTGTTGGTCTGCTGCTGGTGCATCGGGCTTTCAGGGGACAGGGGGCGTGAGCTGGAAGGACCCGACTGAGGAGGCTCCATGCTGGTGGGGGCAGAGGAACCCCCTCCTCCTGATCCACCTCCGCTGCTCTGTTGGCGGATGAAGAAGGCTAAGCGGGACGGGGTGCTGGGTCTGGGTGGGACTGGAGACTCTGAGCTGGGACTGCTCACTGCTGTCAGATTAAAGTACAGAGAAAAAGTGATCACATAAGGGATACAAAAAACACATCACACTAAGTTTGTCTTGATTTCATATTACATTAATGTGTAGACATTTGCCTGCAGGTGAGCACTTAATTGATATTTTGTGCTCTTGAATTAATTAATTTAGTGGGAATGCTGATAACAGCATTCCAACTAAATGTTATTCTACGCACGAAAAGTTTATTATTCCGCCGACTTATTTTTGCCCTCTTCTCCTCCCGCATTGAACATCGCAGAAACTCCGTTCAAACATCAAAACGTTCAGCTCGGTCGGGAATTGATGGCTATTACTTTTCTCATTCATAACTTTCATAATTCCAGAGATACATCCCATAATACATCCCATTTTTAACCATTGAAGTCAATGGAGAGATTCTTCAGACTTCAACAAATCTTCATGCGACTTCAACTGCTAACGGTTCATTCATACTTTCACTCAGAAACCTCATTCCAACTTTAAAATGTTACACATCTTTCTGACATTATTCGTGTAAAACAACTTTTAAATCTGATTCTTACTTTTAGAGATATTAAACATTGTTCAGACCTTGTTAAAGAGGTTTTCTTCAGATTTTAACATTAACTAGAGTGTGTGATGTCACAGCTAGAGTGGAGGACAGCTTGAAATTCGCATTCATATATTTTTTTAAAACTGCCATAATTCCCAAACCCTACATTCCTGAGACATAATTTTTCATCACAAACGTAGGAAAACATCTCGTAGCTTGAAAAATGACAAATAATTAAGCAAAAATAATTAGACAAAATGCCTCTTGAGGGCATGAAGTGACAAAAACGTTCAACATTCCTCCATTAAAGCCCATTGTAATTTCAGGCTGATATTTCCTCACGGTAGCAGCCGCACACCTTTAGTTAAACTGCCAAAAAGGCCACATTATTAACCCGAAAGTACACAAACACATTACACTTCAGATACTCAACTTCCTTGACATGCTTCACGTTTTGAAATTTCACAGATATCTGTTACGGTTCTTCCACAAAACGTTCACATGTAAGAGGTTTATCTCTCATTCAGAACAATGGAAACCTGTGATCTCTGCACACCTCGTTAGCTCAAATATAAACACCTGTGTCATGGAACACGATGATGTCATCACTCCAACTGACATGCTCAGAGCAGCAGACTTCAGATAGCAGCCGTGAAGACATCTACGGGACAGTTTTGAGATTTCTTCAAATGCCGTTGCCATGGCAACACAATGCTCGCCTTGAAACACGGTTTTCTCATAACTTCAGTGAAAATACTCCAAACAGCCCAGAACTTCACAGGTTTGGTAACGATGCAGCCATCAACGCATCTAAGCGTATTATGGGGTGTCATCAAATGCCGTTGTCATGGCGACAGATCATTCACCATCAAGTTAGTTCAGAAGTTTGCAGTTCAAATATTCTGCTGCTTTTCCAAGCCTTTTTACTTTCTTTTCTTCTCTCATCACACATTCAAGCCCCCAGTGTTCATGTATCATTTCAATCTAAATTATTCACTTACTTCTTACACATTACATTTCAGATTTTCAGCATAAAGCATTCCTACTAGCAATTTCTTCAGGAATTGCATTCTCTAGTTGAATCTGTTGTTTCCACACAGGTGTTTGAGCTCACCTTTTGCCCATAATGCATTGTCCTCGTCCCGCTCAGCAGAGGTCGCTAGGTTCAGCCGGCAGCACTCTGGGATCAGCGACAGGAACTTGTCTGCTGACTTTCCGTACAGGTCAGTCTCCCTGATAGCACGACGCTGACTCAACATTACATGGGTACAGGGCAGTAGATACCTGGGAGCAAACCAGACAAATATTTATAAAAATGATAATAAATTCAGTCATTAGCAATGTTGGCTATTCTATCTTATTTTGTCAATTTAATGTGGGCAATAAGTTCCCTATCTGAACATGTTTAGGGACAGAGGAACACAAAACGATTGAACATATTTGCAAAGTGATCACGTTGACTCAGACATACCTGAGAATGAGCTGCAGCATGACGTCCTCACAGTTCAGAGACAGAAGAGTCCTGAAGAGGCTCAGCGATACCATACAGAGCTGCAACACAAGCAGATACAGGAAGCAGTTAGACAAAATGTTATTATCTTGAGAAATCTTAAATGCAAATGTAAATGATATGGTCAAAACAGATTGGTAATTATAAAAACAAATAATAATCGTAACTAAAGTTTGTTCAACAGTTTTTCAGGATATGTGGGAATCCTGTGTTCAGTGGCACCGTTATAATGGCCAATACTACAAAGGTTAGCAAAGCCAATGACTTCCTTTTTAACTGAAATCTTTGTTTTTTTTATTTTCTACAACAAAAGTGGTTATTCAAGAGTGTTTGAAACTGATTATGAACTCACATTTCACTGTAGGTTGTTTCACCAACTAAAAACTATTTACACTACACTAGGCAGTACATGCAGAAGACTTTAACTCTTCATCTTTTTTTCTGAGAAACCACATACTTCTGTATTCTGCGGGAGACACTTTCAATCAATTCTTATTCTCAGCCCACGCTTCACCCACACAACGAGTTCCTATAAGTGCCTTGAGGCTCCATCACAGAAAACACACATATACTGTATATCTATTTTATACCCTTGAGTTGCTGCTGATGCGTGTGAGCAGTGTGTCCAGGATGGTGTCGTTGTCGTGGCAATGCAGCAGGATGAAGCGCAGGAAGGTTTTGAGGAGGGACGTCTCGGACACGCTGCGCAGGAAAAGGTCCAGGTAGGCGGTGCTGGCGATCATCTCGTCCACCGACGACTACAAACACACACAATAAGGTACATTTGTTTAAAAACTGCAAAAGACGGCAGTGCAAAAACATTCATATGAATGGGAGGGCTAAGATTAGAAACAAGCAATGAGGCAATTTCTCAAATTATTTGTATAAATGTTTTTGCTTTGACTCACACTCCGACTCATCCCTTTGAAAAAAATTCCAGAAAAACTATTCATACAAAATAAATAATGTCTTAAAGCGACTCCAGCAGCCAAAAACAAGTGGTCAATTTCCATTCGTGAGGTCCACCATATCCTGTTTACTTTAAGGGTCGGTTTATGAATATCTCTGAAAACTTTATTTTACAAATAGTTGCGTTGGATTCACAGTCGCAATTATGAACAGTACTTTAAAGAGATTTGTGATCCAGAGTCTACCATCTATCCACTTCCTACCTTATGCAGCGCGGGGCCCATGACGGGCACGAGGAAGCCGTTGTGGAGGTAGTCCAGCAGCTGGGAGCGGACCAGGGGGTGAGCCACCTGCACCACGGCGTTACAGAACTCCAGCGAGTTCATGAACAGCACGATAGACGAGACGCCCATCCAGTCCTCCCGCCGCAGGGCGTGCCAGTCGTCTCCTCGAACCTCAATCTTCCTGGGCAGAGAGGAGTAGAGAGCGCTGAGGCCCGTCGCCAACACCTGGGGAGGGGCGGAGAAGATTCAGATGAGACAGCTGTGGGTCAGCAGGTGCAGCCCTCGTGTACAAATATAGGTTTATCCTTCAAACAAAATGGGTTTTCCACTCTCCAGATTTAAAAAAAGAGTAAAAAAACTAAAATAAACCTTATTCAACATAACCCGAGACAATAAGTAATTTTGTCAATCAAACTTTTTAGGGTTTTGAAGGAGCGTAATTTAATTAGTCACCAGGCCTTTGTGATCTGTAATAATTAACAATGATCAGACATTTCATAGACGAAATTATTAATCAATTATCAAATGAACAATCAGCAGATCAAAGTCAGTTGCAACCCTATTAGATCCCTAGATAAGTCCTGTTTATCCCTTGATAGATCCCCGTTGGCATCAGAAATGTCTCGTTTATATCATGTGAAACACATTTTGTTTTCACAACAACTACCAACCGCAGGATATGTAATAGCTCACTTGAGCAAAACAACCTGCAGATAGAAATGTCGGTACCACTTTACAATAAGCCTAGCCTTATAAATGGTTTACGAATAGTCTGTAATTCATTTATTAATTAGGTTGTGAACACTTTGTAAGTCATTAATAAGCTTTTATAAGACATGAGATAAACAGGGCAACTGTGACCGGTTGCTTGCCAAATAGTGAGCCCACATTTATCTGTACTGCTAAGCCTTATATTGGCTACCTAGCTTACTTCGTCTTCAGCCAGCATCCTTGGTATCTGTTGTTCACTGAGTTGATTCTCACTAAGTAGTCAATATAAGGCTTAGTCATCTTGCCAAATAGTGAGCCTGTGTTGATGTATAGAACTGGTTTATAAATGGTTCTTAATGATTAATAAAGTGTTTACAGCCTAATTCATAACCTAATTATAAACCCTTTATGAATCCTTTATAAGGGTAGTCTTATTGTAAAGTGGTACCGAAATGTCGAGATTAAGCCCTCATGTAACTTAGTGTTTTGACAACAGCTGATGGCCTTTTTCAAACTCTATTAATGCTTGCTGGACTTGTGAAAATATATAATATGGAAATATACACATGCCCAAAATCTATTTGAAAGGAAGCCATGTATCTAGATTGCGGGACAGAGAAAATGTTGATGAGCACAGCTTACAGTAACAAACAGTAAGGGAGTTGTTACAGTTATAAAAAGTGTATTGCTACATCTGAAATGTCAAACAAAGCTGATTGGAACATGTGAGCATGCACAGAAGGAAAAAAAGAGCATGTGGCCCTTGATGCCCTACACCAGTAGTTCTCAAATGGGAGGTACGTTGGAGTACTGCAGGGGGTACGTGAGATTTATTTTATGTTAATGAAAAAAAACAACATAAGTAATGCATTTAAACAAACTACTAATAGTAGATNAATGGGAAAAATAAACGGGGTGCTCTCTTTTCCTGTCAGTCTCGTGCAGCTCGCTGAACCTGTAATAAGTGACCCGGCAGTAAAGAATAAATATATTTATAACTAGTTTAGCTAGTTCCAGATTAGATAAGCTAGCTAAGTGTGTTAGGTCTAACTCTTAGTGTATTTTGCTCCGCTCAACGGTCCGTTACAACGGGGCAGCTGTGATCCGGAAGAGCTGCGTGTTCTCTGTTATGATCTGATCTCTCTCTCGCGTCCGGTTATACTTCACTCGCGTTTATGTCCAAATCTATCAGATCTAGCTAGTTCTAGTTCATTATATGACTGCCTGCATATCAAAAGGACCTAAACAATAAGCATTGCTTACGGCGTGTGGCTGCAAAGTATAGCGCAGCATTATGCATTTATATGAGTGGTCAAAATCCCATACTCATAAAATGCTCATATTTGTCTCTCTTCCCACGCCCCAACATAAATAAATATACCAATTTTAGGAAAAGTAACAAAGTTTGAGCAGTGTGGGTTTTATATGAACAGAGTTATACATATTTCAAAACGCTAAGTGTAATAACTGCAGTAGCCTTCCTGTCAGAATGACAAAGATCCTCAGTGAAGCTCAAGCCCATGTTTCTCACTACATTGTAAGTACAACTTATTAAAAAGATCAATTCAATGAAACTAATGTCGTCTTAGTGTTATTGCATGATGTTGAAATTGGTTTGCCATGAATTTAGTGAACATTTGAAATGTAGCATTTAAGTGTTTCTCAGTTATAATGTTGTTGTTTTAATAAATCAGACACTGATGGTGCAGCGCTGTACTGTACCTCTTTATAGGCATTTCCTCCCTAACAAATAGTTTTTGCGCTGATCAGGGGGTACTTGGCTGAATTTCTTTTTCAAAGGGGGTACATTATTGAAAAAAGTTTGAGAACCACTGCCTTACACTGTTCCTTCTAGCCTGTAAATAGGTCAGACTGGATCGTCTGAAGGAGGGCACTCAGAAAATAGCTGAGGGAAAGACAACAGTACTGAGCACAGCATTTCAATAACCTGTTCACTCTCCCAAAGCAGTTTGGAAGCTGAAGCGCTGCTCAGTTGCTGTAGTGTGTCACCTGATTGTAACAGTTGAGACTGGACGACGAACCTTTGCACCGCAGTGAAGCACTTTAACATTTAAATCCAGCAGGTTACTTAAGTTTTCAAAAACAATTGGCAAAATATGGCTCTTTAATCACACCTAGTGGCAGCTGGAAGAAACTACAACAACAGAGGCAGACCAGGCTCCAAACTTCTGAATAGTTTGGAGACAAAATGAAAATGTTTCAAAACTGACGCTGATTGTTTCACTGTATTTGATCTAGAAGTGACATGTATTCTTGTAGTTTAGACATTGTTCATATGTGTAAAGCAGCAGCAGTATGCAGAAGTCCGTATGTTCTGTTCTGTTTTTTAACCATCATAATCTCATGGGTTTTGAGTTTAGTGGTTTAAGATGCGTACAGGAAGTCAAGGCAGATCTGATAGGAAGTAGATAAGGATGAACAGGCCTGTCAGAGTGCAAAGTCACATCCTCCCCCTCCCATTATCACACACCATCACTGATGCATCAGAATCACCCACACCCACATTATAAGCTGTCCGTAACCATCAAATCATAATAGAGTAGGTCCTATCCATGTGTAAATAAAACGGATGGCCCTTTCCCGTAAAAGCCTAAATTGACTAGCCTATAAATAATTGAGCCAAGTTTGATAATGTATGCACAGTAATATGAATTACTGGTAAGTCAGCCGAGGTAAGAGGAGAATACAAAATGAAGGTAATGAAAGAAAAGAGAAAGACAGGCAGTACATTTTCAAACCTTTCCCTTTCAAAGGAGCCCAGGTGGAATACCTTGTGATTGGAAACTGAAATCTTGAAAGGATATTAAGGACGTTAATAAACCATCAACCCCAAATGATCGGATCGCTGCCTGACTTCGTGAGTTATTTACAATTGAACAAGATAATTCATAAGTGCTTTAATAATACAGCCAACCAATGGGCAACCTAAGGGGTTTTCATAAGTATAGATTTTGCCCAAATAGGTTCAGCTATCAAAAATATGCCAAGATACCAAAACCAGCAAATAAATAAGGAAACAATAATATCAGACAACTTATACTTTTGTTGTTGTTTCAAATTGAAAATAAAGCCTCGTGACCGTAGTGTATAGGAATTATATAAAAAAATATGATAAAAATATGTAACAAAATGTATAACCAAGCGCCTGGAATTAGCCATGTCCATTTTTTGTAAAGCCCAATTTCTCACACAGATCTTTTATAGGACAGATGACCAAACCTTCCCCTAAAAACAAAGCACTTTAAACAATGTAAAAAAACCTCAAGACAATAAAAATTACTATATGAGCAAATACAGAAGCTGCAGAGACCCAAGACCAAATTCAGCACCTTATGTAACCGCCCTTTAACTGGCTAAAGTCTTAAAGAGAGCACATTTTAAAGAGCATCATTACTCACTGGGCAGAAGTAGGAGTTCTCAGAGATGTAGCGTGCCACCGACTCGTGGCTGGCCGAGGCCGCCATGACCAGCAGCAGCGCGTCCCGGGCCTGCTGTCCGATGGCTCCGTCCCGGTGGATGAAGGGAACGAGGAGGGAGAAGATCAGCAGGTTGGTGGAGCCCTGCTGAGCTGGAGCCGCCCGGAACAACATCTCCAGAACCACAGGCTGCCGGGCCATGGACACACAGATCTGGGGAGGATTCACAGAGTCACAATTATGAACAGCACTTGAGTATATTCCAAAATACAGAAGAGGATATGGTTTTAATATGTGCACCAAGTCTAAAAATGTAACATTTCCTTTCCTTCTTCCTTTAACATACATATTGCAGCTAAATTAGCAGGATGCACTTCCTGCAGCACAGACCTCCCTTGTAAGTGCTTTACTGGAATTGACTCAAATTAAAGTCAGACTCAGTCATTCAACTTATTTTCCTTTCTGACTGTCAGGACGAATTAATCATTGTAATGTTAAGCGGAAAGTCAAGTTTTGGGTATCTAGTCTTAGTCAAGTTCCCATTTTGCTAATGTAGAAAGAAGGCCAGCAGCGAACAAGTCTATGTTTAGATTATTTTAGACATTGAAGATAAGTATATAGCCTCAAGGTGAATGTACCTGGTTGAGCAGCAGCACCAGGCTGTTTTCCAGAGCTAAAGGACAACCTAGTTCTGGGTCAGCACAAGCTCCCAGCAGCCTCAGCAAGGGGTGGTGGATGGCCGTGTGCTGCAGCAGAGGCTGCTGGGACTGTCCGATGAGCATCTCAAACAGCTTGAGCAGCGCCCCCTGGCTGTCTGGGTCCAGGCCGCGGCGGAGGTGCCACTGAACCAGAGACTCCAGAATATTCTCGGTGACCACCAGCTCCAGGATGGGGCCCATTGGTGCCACGTCGGCCACGCCCTCTGGGCTCTCAGCGGGCCGCTCCTCTGCCAGCAGACACAACATCTGGTCGGTGTGATTCCTCACTGCCGTCAGGTCATCGCTGGAGGAGGAAGGCTCCTGCTGCTCCAACACCCACGAGACCTGAGTAAAGGTACAGTGATTTAATGTTTAACTCTTAGAACTGATCTCATTGTTTGAAGAGCTAAAGAGTAACACCAGTGAGCACTAACAGGAACCAGTTCAGAATGACAGCAGCAAGGTCATTACACTGATTCAATTCATTCATCTGGACATCTCATAGTAGGAAAAGCAAAGGATTAAAATATGACATGATGGCTGATTTCCATTTAGCTTCTTCAATTTCAGTGGCTTTTCCCTCCCACTGTGGCTGTGGCTGAAACCACTTTGTTTACTGTCTGCCATTTCTTTCAGGTGTCATGTTTCTGAGTGTGAGATCTATACTGTAGTGCTCTCTAAAATGTCAATAGTGGAAGGACAAAAGTAATGTCCATGAGAGGTTTCGCAACATTTATCAAGTGGTCTACCAGTTAGCGTGACATTGCATTGATGACTTTGCAGATCTGCAAGTAGCTGGTGCAGATAAGAGATGTGCTTCTTTGTGTTGAATGCATGAGCGAGAAGCCAGAACTAATGTGTTGAATGTTGCACAACACAAATTTGTATTTTTAAAAACACATTTATCTCAAATCCACTTAGGTGTAACTGTACTATAAAGATGGATACCTCTAACCTTTCTTTACAAACTATGAACGCATAAAGGCTTGATACATTTTTTTTTTAAGAGGGTGTTCCTGTTTTACTTCAACCCAAAAACTTGCATGACAGTACTAAGAATCATGTAGCGACATGTAGGAGTCGAGATTACTATTACATCTTGTGCTGATGTTGCAATTCAGTTGAATACCGTCTGCATCTTATCTAGTAGATTCATTTAAAGAATAATAATAAGCCTTAAACAAACCTCAGATATGTGATACTGCCTCTGAGGAAATTCAGGCAGTGGCAAGGCTGTGTAACCCATAAAACACTCAGTCGGTGTTTGGACATAAGCCAGTCACACTGTGTTTGACTGACTGACCGCTCTCATTAGCACTGGCACAGCCAACTGAATGTGTGAACATACACACTTGGTGTCTAAACAGATAATCATTCACTAAAATAAAGAAAGAGCCTTTAAATTCTAACGGGCTCTCTATCGTTGACTTGCAACCAAAATTGAACATTTATTTTGCGTCTGTGTGCTGCTCAACCGAAAACAAGTCACACTGGATCTAAGGTGTGTGTAACCTGCCTGTGGGGTAAGATGCAAGTTATGACTGGCCCCTTTTAATACCCAGCGTTAAAATGTGTCTCTTGTAAACGGATCACAAATGTACAGCTCGAAGTAAATATGTGAATGCCCCCAGATGACACATTAAGATCAGATAGCTGTCCGCTAAATGAATGGATAATATTGCAACAGGGGGATTGTTTAGTAACCTTTTATAGTATAGCCGAGATGTCATTACCTCAAAGGTTATATGAAAAAGAACACTATGTTTTTACCGCAACAAAATATGTAATTTCATCAGAATTTAAGAGAAGGGTGTGTCTCCAGCTCACCTGTCTCCAGTGGTTCTCAAACACCATGAGGCAGGTCTCCGGGTCGGCAGTGCAGGGGCTGGAGGGGGCGGCGCTGCGGCCCGACCGACTCCCAGGACCCCGCGGGTTCAACCTGCTCAGCCAGCTCATACTAGACTCAGTAAGAGTCACAAGAACTATTAAGATGAGACGGAGTTCCAGTAAAGAGAAAATTAAAAATTAAAGTCGGAGTCTCGTAGCAAGAGAAGGCAGAAAGAAAAAGTTGAGGAAAGGAAAAGATGTGGGAAGGAGGAGAGGGATACAGGGGGGGGGGGAGGAAGGGGAGGGTATCTGAAGAGAGAGAAGGAGGAAAGGGAGTGCTGACGAGCTGTCACTGCCAATCAGAGTACGGCGAGGAGAAGCGCTGCTGCTTTAGAATGTCCCTGTCCCCCTGTAGACGCTGTCATCCAGTCTGAAGCCAACACCACTCCATAGCCAGTCAGGACCTTCTCTGTGCTGAGCAAATAAAAACACACAACACAACAGCATGAAAACATATATTCACAAACTTAATCTTCCCTTCTCAATAATTAGCAATATATCACACAATGGTCTCAGAGAGTCAGACATATAAAAGTGATAGCTAACTAAGTGTAAAATGTACACAATTTAAAACAGCCATTGATTCAGAAATCTATCATTAGTGCATCTGTGTTTTTGTGTGTGTGTGCTTTCCTAAAACAAACACATTAGTCAGCCTCTACAGTATGTTGTTACCAGGGAAACCAGTCGGCCCCTCTCTAGAAAAAGCTACATCCAGTCAATAATAGGCTCATAAAGTAATTGTCTGACCTGTAGTTCATGCAAATTTGACTCATTTGCCTATTATCAAAGTTAGAGACAAATTAATGATTACAGTTATTTATAAAATCGAGATGCTTGCTTTTCGTTGCTTAAAGTTTTACTCAAACAATTGACATGAGTGATTATATCCGACAACCAAAGTATATTCAGTATTTGATTTTTTTTTCTCAAATTTTGCATAATCGCATGGGAGTAAAGAGAAAAGAGAGCAGTCATGGTGAAGCAACAGGCACGGACAGTTTAAGATCAAACCTCAAAAACCAGTGACACCTTTGCATTTCAGTGATGGACGGTGTTACTTTGGACTATCTGCAATAACCAGATGGCGAGCAATTGTGGAAAACATGCTGTTAAAAATATCTCAAATAATATTCAACTGTTAGAATTGTTAAACATACACAGCATAGCTTAAAACACTAATGTGGACTATCAAATTTGAAGAGCTCCTAAAAGTATCTGCCGGAAGTAGTGCTTAGTGTATTATTGAGGGGATTATTTGAAAAGGACTAAACAGATGTACAGTGGTGAAGCGGATTATGCTGCAAGAGTAGTTTGGATGTTTTGATGCCTTTTTTTGCTGGGACCCAACATCTGAGTCCAACCTTCAAGCAAACACTTCATATATTCTGCATATTCCACAACAGGTTACAGTTACCAAAGTACTAACTGCAGGAGAAACTTGATTCTCTGTAGAAAATGTAGTTCTAAGGTAATGTCCATTAAGCATGGAATAATATAGCTATTGCTGTAAACCTTTTGGCTTTCATCCTCTAAGTGTTAGTGCTAGTCAATAATCCATAGGACTACAATAATTGGTCCGGAAAGGTTCAACAGGTTATTGAGTTCAATGCCAGACTGCTATTAAGAAGAATATATAAATAAACTTTTAAGTTGATTTATTTGATTATTTAACACCACATGATGTTGACTGAAGTCATGACATGACATGGATTTAGGTCAGATAAAGGTCGGATGGCCCCCCTAAATCAATAACACAGTGCTTTTCTGTTCTTCCATTTCTCATAAAGCTGCCGTTTGATGATCTACACACTGAAGAATGCAGGAGAAATGTAACGTCTTAGCTTCCTTTAATGATTCACAAGCTCTGAACAGGTGAGTCAAAGTTCTCTTTAGTCTTGTTACCCGGCGAATACTTTTCTTAGAATAAAATGAAACCATACCAAGACACTCAACCCAGAAAGACTCAAAACTGAAATGTATCTACAGCAAAATTACCTCCTGACAATTCAATTTTTTGTTACACCATGAATGTAATTACCTTACATGCACGCAGGCCAGTCTTCCTCAGCTTAAACATGCAACCCTTTCTAAACCACATGCGGAAATGCTAAGTGTCTTTTATTGTCACGTCACACACAGCATAATAATAAAACACCTGTAAAATGAGTTCAAAGTTCAACTACAGATTCCACTAAGGGGAGGCTGCCTTCATAAAGACAACAGAGTTTTTCAAAGGTTATTGATTGAACACACCATACCACAACTCGTCTTGACTTATCTCACACCAAAATGTCTAAAGTCCAAGAAATACTCTGAGACATTCAGATGGACTGAAAGGAGAAGCACGTTTATTTCCAATGTTTCTCTGACTATTGTTAAAAACGGAGAGCCACACCTGCTTTCTGAAGCAATTGTCCACAGGCGTGAAAACATTCAGAGCTCCGAGCTCTCAGGAACATTCAGTATTTCACCTTCCTCACATTTCTACTTCTGTCCCTCTTTGTATTTAATGTAGAACATTTAGACACTGATCACATCTGTGTTTGCACTGGTAGGTGCAGTGACTTTTCATAGCAGCTGTTACAACGGATATGAAGACTGTGCTGCAGACACTTTCTGAAAGCACCTTGGCATTCAATATCTTACACTAAACTTGAGTAAATTAATATCTATCATTCATAACACATGTTGACTTGATAGGAATATAACTTAAGCGATGTGCCTCTGATCAAGAAACCACACCATTTTTTAAAGCAGAATTTACTTCCAAAGCAAAGTTACAGGAAAACCCATTATCGTCGGATGTAATTCAGGCTGTCCCATATTGTATCATAACAAGTCAGCCATCAGTCACTGCGGTGTTTTGGGTCATGTGTCCCCTTCAGTCTGACAGGCTGTTAGCGCACATAGCTCTCAAACACCGAAAAGGACGACCTTGCATTTCAACCGGTTGTTTAATTAACGTCATCTTAATAGCATTTGTGCTTCAAACCGGATCTTTTAGTCATCACCAAGCGCCAGATCTCACATTATCCAACACAAGCGGTTTACGCTGGGGTCCGCCGAAAAACAACAATCAATGCATTTCAATAGCGAGATGATGTAGCGGGACAGCTACTTGGTACTGATAATTAGCTATGTTAGGAATGTCAACCATGTTTATCTTTAATTCATCGAGCTGAAGTGTCCTTTTAAAAAGGCGGTAAAATATTCACTCACCTTTGTTATTTGTAGGACTCCCAACAGTTATTCCTGATTTCCACGGATACCTGCTAGCTGGTTGCTAGTGAGTTAGCGCTGGTTGCTAACGACTAGCTGCTAATGAATTCCACAATGTCAGAGCAGTAAACGGATGAGCAGCACGCAAGTGACCTGGAGACAACTGGTGAGCTAGAGAATATTGAGCTGGGGACGCTGACACATTAACCACTCCTTCATTCGGGCTGCTGAGCATCCTGTTAGAGACTGATAAACATCCCATTTGATGATTTCTCAAACACTCTTCCTTTTCCCGCAGCCATCTTACTTTAACTCCTCCCACACGACTTCTCTGACTCACACCCACAGCGTCGCTGCTCCTCTGCTGTGTGAAGGTGCTAAAGTGACACAAATAAGAAGTAAACACTGTGACCCATGGGCGTCACTTTGTTAGAAAAAGTGATGGGGACAACTTCTCCAGATTTAACATCAGCATAGCAGAAGACACAATATGTCCCTCCCCTCCCCTTGATGTTGAACCTCAAGCACCTGCATGAAAAACCAGTGCATAGACCTCTGGACCACCAATGTGGTTTATCAATGAACACCCAACTACGTGTTGCTGTGATTTTGAGTGAATTTGTACCTGTATGCAGACTATGCACACAACGAGCACACTGGTATGGAGAACAGAACATGACATGAGTGCAAAAAATACATGCATAAATACAGGAATACAAAAATACAATAATACAATTTTGGAGAAAAAAAACTGAAATAAATGTGGAAATAAGTACAAGAATAAATAAACATGAGAAAAAATAAATAAATATGGAAATAAATAAAATGTAAGTTGAGAATTAAACAGAACACACATTATTATATAGGCCTATATCTTTAATGTATTTCTAAATGCATTTTCACTTACATTCATATATTTATTAATTTCTGTGTCTGTGACTGTTACAACAACATTTATAACGTACTATCAATTGCTCTGAAAGTTCAGAGCCCTCAAGAGCCAGATATAAATGTTTATTAGCGTCAAAAATGGTGTTGCTATTAAAGGTTTTGCTATACCTAAACACATGCTGGAGAAGGAAGGGGTGAGCAGTGGTATTTAGTTGGTCTTAAGCCTATCGCTAGATGCTGCTAAATCCTACACATGCACCTTTAAAGCCTACTCCAATTGAAAAAAAACTATTTAACTTTCATAGAGTAGGGGAGACTGATCCAAACAAGAGTAGCAAAGGTCAAGTACGCCTACTGTGACTCTGAGTCTCAACTGGGTCATCCTTTCAAAAAGAGTTGTATGCTATATTTCCCCTAAGGCAACTCAATTGTGTCTTTTATTAGATCCTGCCTGCTTTATGTAATGCCCACATCTTAATTTCAAAACCGCACACAGTCAAAAGACCAATTAAAACAACAGACCAAACCATGGCTAAGGCATCAGATAATACTGGACTCAACCAGGGATAAAACACTGGTAATTACATCCCAAACTGGGGCTAATAATACATATGATATTGTAGGAGTCTCAAGTTTCAAACCCACGCTGAGCTAACCCTCATGCTAATGCTACAACACCATCTGAATCCTTAGGCTAGCAGGTTGAATAGTATTCCTACATATAAATTGAATGAAGACATTACAATCAGGCTATTCATTTCACGTTTCCGCTCTTTTGCACACACATTGCATGTATATGTTTATTGACAGTGGCACATATAATTTACTCTCTATCCTCCAGTTATTGTTTGTTGTCACTCACTGCCTGTACGATGTGCAGAGGAAGACCTCTCTGGTTTTTCTAGGTGAAGAAAGAATTCCCAGAGGACACTTGACATCTGTTGTGCTTTTCTTCCATGGAGACCTGCATCACCAGGCAGAGCTCAGGTACACCTGGTTTGTTGTTAGGTGAACCACAGAGCACAACCTGATGCAGAAGGTTATATAAATGATTGTCTGATATTTTACATTTCTTATGCAGGTCGGGACAAGATCAAGTGCAAAGGCCATGTTAACTTAGAAAAACGTATTAGTCTACGGCTAATCTTTGGAGAATGAATAAAACAGGTGGTGCAAGTATCAGAGGTAACCAGTGGCAGAGACTGCTCAGTTGGAAACGGGGTAAGAAAGTGACTGAAGATGGAGAAGATGGAGAAAATGGAGTCAAGGACGAAGCAAAACCAAACACCAATCTGGATCAAAAGTTGAAAGTCAAGTAAGTCATTCATGTATCTATACTCATGGCGTTAATTCAGACTTTATTACTGCTGAGGAGAGAAGACATTTTTTAAATCTAGCTAATATACTTAGTATTGAGCATTTAAATCCACAGTAACAGCATTTCCCCCAACTTTATATTCTTGCATCTTAAATGGTTGATTTCTTTTAAAAATCTGAGTTTAAACTACAAGCAGATATTGAGTACCTTACAAGGAAGTAGGGGTAGGCAATGTGGACAACATTGAATATTCTGATAATTATTATCCAATTATTTTAATGATGCTTTATTGTATGTACGCATACCGAGTCACTTGACGAAAAGGGAAAATCACCTAATATTAAAATAAAATGGAATGATATTTACTGTCATTACACTTCAGGGCTTTTTCTCAGTGCAGTTACATGAAGAGGTTAACTACAACAGCTGTAAGCCATTAATGCAGATGTTTTACTACAATACGTGTTACAATTTATAAAAATATATGTTTTTGACTATTTATTCATGTACATATGAGAACCATAACCCACAGCCTCTGGGAAAATCCTCCTCATCTCACACCCGCATCATCATTACTGATTGCCCTCATTTCCCTCTGTTTCCTCTTCATCATTGTTTCCTTCTGTCTTCTCTTCATCATTATTTCCCTCTGTCTTACTCTTCATCATTATTTCCCTCTCAGGTGGACAGAGTTGGTGTTTGATCCAGCAGAAAAGTTTTATTATGTCTGGTTACAGGTCATGATATTTCCCATCATCTATAACTGGGTGATCATCATTTTGAGGTACAAACATGATAAATATGAGTAATCAAGTATCCAAGACTATAACCTTTCCTCCTTGGACATCCATCATCTGTTTGGTTATGTTTTCTCAGGACGTGCTTCACTACAATCGCATTCAACTACCTGCCTGTCTGGATGACACTGGACTATGTGGCAGACCTAATGTATTTGGTTGACATGTTAATCACTGTCCACACAGGTACACATTTTTATTGTAGAGAAATTAATTAATTTCTACACATATGTCATATAAAAGCTGTTATATAAAGGAACACAATAAGTATTAATAGAGTAATAAAATAATTAGAACAATCAGACCGCAGATAAGAGGCATAATTGGAAAATAAGGTACAATAATTTATGTAATATACTCATCTATCTGGTTCAACAGACTACCAGACTTTAGGCAACAAAATTCTAAGTAGAGTCTTGTATTATTATAGGACTTCTTAATTTTTTTCAAAAACACTCAATTTGCTCAAATATATGTCTATACCCAGACAACATTAAACTTTGTAAGTGACAACCTACAGTAATTCGACCAGTATATGAATGTTTTCTGGCATTTGATAGACCTTGTTTTTCTTTTTCCAGGTTACTTGGATCAAGGCATCCTGATCAAGGACCTTGCTCACCTGAAGAAGCGTTACCTGCGCTCTAAACATTTCCTAAGGGACCTGGTTTCCTTACTTCCCACAGACTTCCTCTACTTTGTCTTTGGCCTCGAAACTCCAATGGTGAGGATCAACCGTCTTGTGCGTATACCACGACTTGATGAGGCTCTGGATCGCATGGAGACAAGAACCTCCTACCCCAACACCTTCCGTATTACCAAGCTGATGATCTACATCTTTGTGCTGATCCACTGGAACGCCTGTCTCTACTTTGCACTCTCCAGCTACATCGGCTTCGGAAGTGATCGTTGGGTCTACCCCAACATCACCAAGCCCGAGTTTGCCTCCATGCGCCGTCAGTACTTTTACTGCTTCTGGTTCTCTGCCCAGATTTTCACCACAGTGGGAGACACCCCACTGCCAAAAAGGGAAGAGGAATACTTGTTTATGATTGCAGACCTGCTCATTGCTGTGCTGGTGTTTGCTTCAATTGTTGGAAATGTTGGCAATGTCATCACAAGCCTAAGGGACCGTGATAATGTGTTCTTTCCTAACCATGAGTTGGTAAGTCAAAAAGCCTAACCTGACACTAAGCTAGAGGTTATTTTCATTTGTTGTATGGAAAATAAGGTTACTTTTTCTGCTTTCAGGTGAAGGCTTACCTGCGTAGCCATCACATTAGCAAGGAGCTTCGACAGCGAATCGACAACTGGTACCAACATCTTCACATCAACAAGAAGATAATGCGAGAGAAGGAAATCCTGGAGCAGCTGCCCTTACATCTGAGAACAGAGATCGCTGTTAGCGTTCACCTTCCCACGCTCTCCAAAGTCACCATCTTCCAGAGCTGTGAGAAAAGCCTGCTGGAGGAGCTGGTGCTTAAACTAACACCTCAGGTCAGGGGAAATACTAAACAGCTCAACGGCTTTGTCTAGTTTGTTATCTAATACATATCCTTTTACAAAATAATTGTTTAGGAATAAAGAAGTTTATCTCTTTTGGTTTTCCAGGTGTTCAGTCCAGGAGAGTATGTCTGCAGGAAAGGAGATGTGGGCCATGAAATGTACATCATCAGAGAGGGGAAACTAGCAGTTGTAGCAGATGACGGGGTCACAGAGTATGCTGTGCTTACTGACTCGAATTTCTTTGGGGAAATTAGTATTCTCAACATCAAAGGTTAGTCCAGTTCTACTACACGGACATTCCTCAATGCATATAGAGAGGGAAAATCGGCACATTTTTGACACAACACAAAGCATTTTCTTGTACTCGGACATATAGACTTTAATTGAGTCAACAGTGCAAAAGGATTACATTTAGTACAAAGGGAAGAGACATCTTTCTGTGGTGATTTGGATCTTGATAATGCTTTTAGCTCTATACACTCCAACACTCAGGAATTAAGCACCTGCTGTAAAGATTGGTCCAGACTATAAAAGCTGGTAGGCCGTAGTTGAAGAGAAATTAAAGGAAAGTCCCATCGTCCTAGTCACAGATAATGTGCATATAGATCCTGTAAATGAAGATTATGAATGGAAATTGCAGTCTGTCTGGAAAGCACTGAATTGTAAAATATGAATACTTAAATATGAATACTATTAACCTTCTCGTTGAGGGCAGCAATAGGAAGGTTCCCTAATGCCTCTGAAAGACGAGTGACTTTGTAATGATATATCTTTTTTAATATTGCTGAATTTTTTACAAAA